TCAGTGGTAGACATGCAGTAACTAGGTATCAAAGTCTGAGACTAGGTAACAACTTTCCAACCTCATCTCTTTTTTCTTGTAAAAAAAAACTCGGTATCCATTTGGTCATGCTCTCTCCCCGTGTGGAATTTGTGGCACCATTGTGCACACAAATGAGTCTGATCTGTAAAACGGATGTGCGCACGCAGCACTCAAGTGCAGGAACAGAACTAGAAGTCAGAAGTGGACGAACAGATCAGTAACCTTTCCCGGAATTTACAACCTGTTAACGCGAAAAAAAGTGGATGGAGAAGTCATAGGCCTACGCTCAATATCATCTGGCCCAGTTAAGGCATAAGGGACATCATCGCTGGTACTGTGTGCTGGCTTCTTCAACTAGGTTTTTAAAAGGAGTAGAAAATTATAGGGAAGAAAAAAAGTTGGTAAGAAACAACAAACAGTTTATGTTAGCTTTACAAAATCGATCACAATAAATGAACAAAGGACGTTGCGGCGATTAGCCCTCATCAGCACATAAAGAACAATACAGTACACATACACAAATATACTCTAACTATGAAGTGACTACATGGGACTAATGTACACAATAAATGATACTCATCTGTGTTCCTGGCGAAAAACTTCCTTCAAAAGGAACGATTGTCTCGTCTGCTAGAATGGGTTGCTTCTAAAGCGGGTGTGACTCTTTTAATCTTTATCACAACAACAACAACAAAATGATGAATTATCTCCCATAGAATGTAGAAGATAATCTTGCTGTTCTTTGTATCGTTCTTTGGCTGCAAAATCCGGTCGACAGTTCTGGTTGTTCGTCCACCTCTGGATTTTGGTCTTGTTCCAGATCTTGAGTTTTGCGTGCATATTCGTTTCACGGATTGATATGACATATACAGATTGTTCACTACTTGCCTCTCAGGTGGATGCTCTCCGACTCCGCAGGAAACAGCCCTTACGACATGGTTGTTTGGACGTAGGAAACAGCCCTTGTTAGTCGCCTTTTACGTCATGCTTGTTAGGACGCATTATACCTTTTTTTCAAAAACATTGGACCACAGAATCGAAACGGAAAGGGTCAAGACTGGACAACATGGTACACATTAACTATTGTCCTTGCCCACACAGGACCAGGTTACAGCAGGTTAGCGTGGCCGTTTTCTGTGCCCTATTTATAACACCTTTGGAGGCTGAACGAGGTATTTGGGCATGCTTTTGGAGGCTGAACGAGGTATTTGGGCTGGCTGTTGGAGGCTGAACAAGGTATGTGGGCTTGCCTTTGGAGGCTGAACGAGGTATGTGGGCTTGCCTTTGGAGGCTGAACGAGGTATCTGGGCTTGCCTTTGGAGGCTGAACGAGGTATCTGGGCTTGCCTTTGGAGGCTGAACGAGGTATGTGGGCTTGCCTTTGGGGGCTGAACGAGGTATCTGGGCTTGCCTTTGGGGGCTGAACGAGGTTGTGGGCTTCCTTTGGGGCTGAACGAGGTAGTGTGGGCGTGCCTTTGGAGGCTGAACGAGGTATGTGGGCTTGCCTTTGGGGGCTGAACGAGGTATGTGGGCTTGCCTTTGGAGGCTGAACGAGGTATCTGGGCTTGCCTTTGGGGGCTGAACGAGGTATGTGGGCTTGCCTTTGGGGGCTGAACGAGGTATGTGGGCTTGCCGAGGTATGTGGGCTTGCCTTTGGGGGTAAACGAGGTATGTGGGCTTGCCTTCGGAGGCTGAACGAGGTATGTAGCTTGCCTTCGGGCTTGCCTCCTTGGAGGCTGAACGAGGTATGTGGGCTTGCCTTTGGGGGGCTGAAACGAGGTATGTGGGCTTGCCTTTGGGGGCTGAACGAGGTATGTGGGCTTGCCTTTGGGGGCTGAACGAGGTATGTGGGCTTGCCTTTGGGGGCTGAACGAGGTATCTGGGCTTGCCTTTGGGGGCTGAACGAGGTATGTGGGCTTGCCTTTGGAGGCTGAACGAGGTATCTGGGCTTGCCTTTGGGGGCTAAACGAGGTATGTGGGCTTGCCTTCGAGGGCTGAACGAGGTATGTGGGCTTGCCTTTGGAGGCTGAACGAGGTATCTGGGCTTGCCTTTGGGGGCTAAACGAGGTATGTGGGCTTGCCTTCGAGGGCTGAACGAGGTATGTAGGCTTGCCTTCGAGGTATGTGGGCTTGCCTTCGAGGGCTGAACGAGGTATGTGGGCTTGCCTTTGGAGGCTGAACGAGGTATGTGAGCTTGCCTTTGGAGGCTCCACAGCTCAAACTTGTACTAATGGGTGTTTGATCAAGAAAAGCTTTAATGTAATTCACTCTTTCTAACTCTCTCTCTCTCTCTCTTTCTCTCTTTCTCTCTCTCTCTCTCTCTCTCTCTCTCTCTCTCTCTCTCTCTCTCTCTCTCTCTCTCTCTCTCTCTTTCTCTCCCTGTCTTTCTCTGTAACCCCCTTTCTCTCTCCTTCTGTATCTTTATCTCTCTGTCTCCCTCTGTGCCTCTATTTTTTCTATTCAACTGTCTATCTATCTCTCTGTCTCCCTCTCTCTCCCTTTCTCTATCTATGTCTCTCTCTCTTCCTCTCTATTTCCCTGTCTATTTCTCCATTTATATACGTCTCTCTCCCTCTACCCCCTCTCTCACTCTCTCTCTCTCTCTCGTTCTCTCTCTCTCTCTCTCTCTCTCTCTCTCTCTCTCTCTCTCTCTCTCTCTCTCTCTCTCAATTTCTTAACTATGTTGCACAATGTAGAAGGACTGTTTCAATCATCGAGCCGCATAACAAAAAGTACATCAGAAAAGAGCTGAGTTTGTCATCGTTATAAAAGTGGCCCAGTCTAGAGAAGGGGCTTGGGGAGTGTGTGAGTGTGTGGATGAGTGAGTGAGTGAGTGAGTGAGTGAGTGAGTGAGTGAGTGAGTGAGTGAGTGAGTGAGTGGGTGAGTGAGTGAGTGAGTGAGTGAGTGAGTGAGTGAGTGAGTGAGTGAGTGAGTGAGTGAGTGAGTGAGTGAGTGAGTGAGTGAGTGAGTGAGTGAGTGAGTAGTGAGTGAGTGAGTGAGTGAGTGAGTGAGTGAGTGAGTGAGTGAGTGAGTGAGTGAGTGAGTGAGTGAGTGAGAAGTGTGTGAGTGAGGGGGTGAGTGAGTGAGTGAGTGAGTGAGTGAGTGAGTGAGTGAGTGAGTGAGTGAGTGAGTGAGTGAGTGAGTGAGTGAGTGAGTGAGTGAGTGAGTGAGTGAGTGAGTGAGTGAGTGAGTGAGTGAGTGAGTGAGTGAGTGAGTGAGTGAGTGAGTGAGTGAGTGAGTGAGTGAGAAGTGTGTGAGTGAGTGAGTGGGTGAGGGAGTGAGTGAGTAAGTGATTGAGTGAGTAGGTGGGTGAGTGAGTAGGTGGGTGAGTAAGTGAGTGGGTAGGTGAGTGAGTGAATAAGTGAGTGAGTGAGTGAGTGAGTGAGTGAGTGAGTGAGTGAGTGAGTGAGTGAGTGAGTGAGTGAGTGAGTGAGTGAGTGAGTGAGTGAGTGAGTGAGTGAGTGAGTGAGTGAGTGGGTGAGGGAGTAAGTGAGTAAGTGAGTGAGTGAGTGGGTCGGTGAGTGAGTGAGTGAGTGAGTGAGTGAGTGAGTGAGTGAGTGAGTGAGTGAGTGAGTGAGTGAGTGAGTGAGTGAGTGGGTGGGTGGGTGGGTGGGTGGGTGGGTGGGTGGGTGGGTGGTGTGGGTGAGTGAGTGAGTGAGTGAGTGAGTGAGTGAGTGAGTGAGTGAGTGAGTGAGTGAGTGAGTGAGTGAGTGAGTGAGTGAGTGAGCGTGAGTGAGTGAGTGAGTGAGTGACGTGAGTGAGTGAGTGAGTGAGTGAGTGAGTGAGTGAGGGAGGGAGGGAGTGAGTGAGTGAGTGGGTAGGTAAGTGAGTAAGTGAGTGGATGAATGAGTGAGTGAGTGAGTGAGTGAGTGAGTGAGTGAGTGAGTGAGTGAGTGAGTGAGTGAGTGAGTGAGTGAGTGAGTGAGTGAGTGAGTGAGTGAGTGAGTGAGTGAGTGAGTGGGTGGGTGGGTAGGTAAGTGAGTGAGTGAGTGAGTGAGTGAGTGAGCGATTGAGTGAATAAGTGAGTGAATAAGTGTGTGCGTGAGTGAGTGAGTGCGTGACAATAAGATAGTATGCTTATGAATAGCTACATAAATTATGGTTAAAAACAGAGACAGGTAGAAAATTAACTGACATGTGAGACAGCAAAATGAATGAGCTGGTAAAATAAAACATTCTTCCATCTCTCAGTCAGTTTTGTTTCATTTTGATAACTTACAATAAATTGTATGGGTGACTATTGTTAATACTGTGAATTAACCAAAACACAAAACGCTTTACAAAAGACTTTTCACAAATAAATACTGTGAATTAACCAAAACACAAAACGCTTTACAAAAGACTTTTCACAAATAAATACAGTGGAATTATTTTTTTTTTTTTTTCAATACGATTTTTCCATCTCTCTGTTAAGTTTTATTTAATTTTGATAACTTAAAAAAAAATTGTAAAGTTTATGATTGTTAAAATTGTAAATTACCTATAAAAATGGGAAGAACCGCAATCTTGTAAGAGTCCAGTGCCTGTAAGGGTCAAAACATGTTCTTGGAATTTTCCAAACACAGCAAGAATGGGAGGAAAGTGCGGAAAAGGGGGGGGGGGGGGGGGGGGGGTAACTTCTCAATGAATGAAATGTGAAATATTTTTTCAGAGCGTACCGTTGCAGTCACTACATTGGAAACATGTGGCCTAATACAAGTACTATGGTGTGCAAGTGGAACATTAAGTTAACCGATTGTATGGTACATGATTTCCATCGCTTGAACATCAAACACAAAAGCCGACTTTCTTCAGAGACAAACCTGGTTCAATTCTAAATCCTCAAAGAGAAAACCCCAGAGAGAAAACAACGTGTGTGATCAGCTTCCCGGGGTTATCGGCCCCTGCAGGCACGAGCACCAGTTATCAGGAAGAAACTGAGACGGCGAGTACGGGTCGAGGAGAGACAAGATAAGGCGGTCATGAGAGGCAACTAGGACAGAAGGTAGACTCGTGCTGATGTCCGCTTTCATAATGGATAAGTTGTGTGCTGGTTTAATTTGCCGGTTGGGGCAAAGGTCAAGCAACAACGTTTTACAGAACCTGTTTTTGTTGTTGTTCACAGCTTGTTTATTTTTGTTTGTGCTTATGTGTATATCTACAATCATAGGCTAGAATCTTGTCGAGGTGGAATGTGACCATTGGTCCGAACTTTGGGAGTGGATTCAGCCGAAGTACGAGACCCGACGGCGAAAACCAGTTGAGCCCTAGGGAAAAAAAAGCATTGAGAGTTAAAGGGGAGGGAGGGGAGGGGGGGGTTGACGCCTGGGGCCCTCCAGCATCACTAAAAGTTTTCAAATAAAAAAAAAAGGGGGGGGGGGGTGGGGGTGTAAAGCATAATTTTTTTTAACTATTTAAATAAATTCTTTTTAAAACATGTCAAATTATTTTTTATGTATTATAATATTTTTTTACTGTTAGGCGCATTGTTCAGTTATATTGTTACGCTCTTAAACTAGGATTATGTCCCTTAATTACCCCCCCCCCCCAACCCCCACACACATAAGCTGCTCCCCTCCCTGGTGTTTTCCCTATGACGTATACCGGGAATTATTTTTTTTTTTAAAGGTAACAGTGGCCGGAAAGAACTGGTCACACAAAAATGCACTGTCGACTAGTTCCCAAAGCTGTAGCAGGCAAGACGTTTCTTTAACAACCATTGCTGGATTGTGGGCATTAGAAATGGTAGTTGCGTATCTTTTACAGGACGTTGCAGAACCAACCCCAGCATTTTCTTTTTGGCTGTTGTCGTTTTTCTAGGCAAACGTTCATTAGTTTGCCATTGCTATCTAAACGGTAAACTCTCGGTACCACTGTCGAAACCAACGCAATACAAATCGTCTGCAGCTGGCATCGAACCCGCCACCCCGGCGTTACGAAGTGCGTTCGCAACCCCTAAGCCACAGCTGCCGACTTTTTTAGCATAAGTTTCTGTAAATAAGCTACAGATTATGACGTCACAAACAATCAGATTTCATTTTATTTTAAGGTAGTTTGAATGTAATATTTTTTCCCCCAACTTTTCAGTTACAAGAGCATTTCAGAGGAATGTATAATATAATTGATGTGATTGTGCACACATTGTTAAGTATTTATAATAAACCTCATAGCGTCAGAATCTGGAGACACAGGACTTTGCCCTCCCCCTCCCCCAAGTATTTTAGGGGGCGAAGTCCCTCACAACCCTACCCCTTTCCCCACCCCCCCCCCTCACCCCCCCCCCTTTCCTCAACAAACACACACACACAATTTCGTAAGGCAGCCATGTAAGACATAATCCAATAATCCAAAGTATTTTCCTATTAATAATTCACAGGCGGAAGTGCTCCGTTGTATACCATGATAGAGATAGGGTGTGGCGATGGCCCACATAAAACATTGTGGGGGGGGGGGGGTGCATCTCTTGCACATTTTACTGGAAGGAAGGGAGTCGGGGCTTATAATATAATGTGTGGAACTGCAAGATAATAAAACAAGTCTATTTGAATATAATGGGTAAAAGTAATGTTAGTCTCCACAGAACCGGCCCATATACGCACAAGCTCACTTCTGATTAATAGTTCTGAGCCCCGTGTACTTCGCGCAGGATTACGGAAGTGTTCCGCAATGCCGTTGATATCATGTGTTGTATACTAAACAACCCCCCCCCCCCTTTTTTTTCCTTCCCCCCCCTCCCCACCCACTAGAGAGTGCTGCAACCTATGTCATAGGCATTCTCTTTCTCGGAATGAAAACGTAAATACAAGACATCACAGAAACCTAACAAGAGAACGGGACACATCCGTAATCTTCAGGAAAGTCGACCAGCCTAACAAATTGTGAATGAAAAGTGACCTACTCTATTTGGGGAGACTAACGTCAAACTAACCAATTAACGAATAAAGACAAATTGTAAAAGACATGTTTTTATCTGTGGTAACGGGCAACCTTTAGGCCTCCTTACAAATTTAGAGCTATCTCAATAAACTACTGAGGTCCTTTATGTTACTAAAGACTCCAAGTTCTGACGCCACTAAGAAGTGTATGATAAAGAGGTGGCGCATGGTAGAGGGGCAGTTGTGTCATTTATTCCCTGGGATCAATCGCGAGGTAATGAAACAAGCCCACCTGACACAAACGCTGTTGTGATTGGCTAACCCATTGTGTGGCCTTGATATTGAAAGACTTAATTTGCATTTCTGTCACCGAAAGTAGGTGAAAGTTGTATGCCCCAAAGTGGCCCAACACTGCCCCAACACTGCCCCAACACTGGCCCATCACTGCAAATAAGCATTCATTTGCACTGAGACAATAACATTGATGGCCCAACACTGCCCCAACACTGGCCCAACACTGCCCCAACATGGCCCAACACGATTAGCACTCTTATCAGGTAGGGATAACTGTAATGATGACAGACAGCCAAGCACTGCCCAACAACACTGCCCCAACACTGCCCCAACACTGGCCCAACACTGGCCCAACACTGCCCCAACACTGCCCCAACACTGCCCCAACACTGGCTCGTGTTTGCTGCTTCGGTTCCCCATGTGGGTCCTGGAGCCTCGTTGTGGGGAAACAAGAATAGACCCACTGCCTCCCCGACAAGCATGTCGTAAGAGTCGAGTAATTGGGGGGTTCCTTCAAAGCTGGAGTGCATCTGCCTGAGCTGAGAGTTAAGGAACTAACAGTCTGCATACAAATGTCAGATCTGTAAGACGGATATGCAGGCAACAACTCAGGTTCCGGGACAAGTCTGAAATTCAGAGGTGGGGGAACAACTAGAACTGTCCCCATGAGTTTACAGCCGTTTCACGCGAAGACGAAGTAGATTACTTTGGTCAGCGTCTGTGGCTATACCTTGCGAACGCTGGGTACTGGGTTCAATCCTAGCTGCGGGACGATTTGGTGGCAGACCGCCTTGCGTTGATTTCGACAATAGTGCTGACTGTTCAGTGAGCAAAGTGCGTAGTAGTGAACTTAATAATAAATGCTGCGGTTGGGTCTCTAAGTACACCAGCCTTCTTTCCTTTCCAGAAAATTTCCGTCCTTATGTCCGCTGATAGAACTGGAATCCCGCTTGGAAGAGGATTAGTGCAAGACCAAAGGACCGGTAGGTAGGGACGCTAGACCAGACGCCCCTAAATCCTGTCAACACAATGAGGTGATAATTTGACGACAAAGAGAACAATAGTTTTACGACAGCCAAACCTTTGTCTGTCTGCCAGCTAAACATTAGTGCCGTTCAAATCCCAACACGTTCTTGGCGAGGATTATGGGATTATGGCTGATCTTATACCAGGGAAACTTAGATTCAGCCGAAGGGATGTTGTAGAAATATTGAGTCTGTCATTAAACGCCGCTTTGTGCTCAATGTTTTCACATTCTGACACTTACGATGGCGGGAATGGCAACCCAAAATAGGTCAAGGACGCTGCAGTCTCTTGCCTCATGCAATAAACGTGTCAGGTGTGAAGAGATCCGCGACTGACGTACTCATGTCCTGACTGAATGAGCTGAGCTGATTTATTGCCATATTAAAACTCTCAGCGAGAGGAATCGTCTGCATTACCCTCCAATAACATAAACAACAAATAAGCTAACCATCCAGTGCTCAAACTAGACATTAAAAAAAAACACCAAATATCCAAACAATCAACCAGTTAACAAAACTCTCCATCTAACTAGCGGTCGTTTTTGTTGACCTTGTCTGATCGTCTTCCAGGTATATCTCCTGAAATGTGTGTTGTTGTTCTTGTTATATATATATATATGACTCTTATATATGCGCGCGCACATACACACTGTTCCAAAAAAAAAAACGCATAGCTAGTGAAGAGAACAATATTTTGACATAAATGTGACATTCAAAATCTGAGTAATTTAGTGTGTGACATTGTTCAAATTGCACACAAGCATACCTAAGGGTTTAACCAATCAGTTGACGGTCCTTTTGCATCTGCGTCATTGATAGTTGTTTAGGCGTACCGGCTTTCCCGTCAACTAATGAAAAACTCGCCATCAGATAACCAGACTGTAAAATTTCATCAGGAATGCCCCATAATTATGCTTTTTTTATTTCCCAAACAGTATATTTTTTATCGGCAGGAATAACACAAGGTTGACATTGTGACGACACACGTCCCTCGCTGACCACTAGGTCTCAACGCGTGGACAGTAGAACTTGACCTGACTGTGCATGTCTTGCCGGTAGTTAAGTTAGATACTTACAGTGGTCAGCCTCGTGCAGGCTCGACACCACTTGGTCAACGGTGTTATGTTGAGCATGTAGAGTTTCGTTCACAATTTCTTTTCAGAACATTTGCCTGAGTCTGTTCCCCAAAAGTCGACACAGTGTACGAACTCCGCTGCGTAAGCAAGGATTCAATAGGTGAATATTTATCGTATACTAGAATTATGACGGACTGTTATCATTCTGTTGCAGTCTGGATATTATGTTGTTGTTGACAAGCTTCTTCACAGAGTTGATCCCTGATCTTCCCTTGACTAGCTGGACACAGCGTATTCAACAAATGAGTTTTGTAAGCGACTATTTGAGAAGCTTTCATGTAGTTAAAGCAACCAGTCTACCTGTTAAAGACCCATACATATATAAATGTCTTTACTTCCCAGGAATTCACCTGGTACCCATTGTAGTCTAGGTCGACCTGGGAGTCAATGTCGTGGTTTTTTTAATGACTCCTTTATCTCTATTCGGGATAGATATCTGCACAACCATTTGGTATTGCTCTGCTCATTGACAATCTGCGTCTTTTACCCGTTTTTCTCAGCTTTACACCCCCACAATCTCCCCCCCCCTTTTTTTCCCCCTTCTTCTCCTCTGTAATCTTTTTCTTCTCCGTCTGCTCTTTTCTTTTTCCCCTGTATTTTGTGTATTTTCCTGATAATGGGGCCAATACTACCAGACAACAAACTAAGTGATATGTACACTTGTCCATGTTTGTTTTGATTGTGTGGGTCATTTTGTTTTTTTTAGGACAAAGTTGTCAAAGTCAAACCGATCCTGTGTAATCAAGACAAGTGTTAACACAGCTGCTTCCCTCATAGAAGAACTATGTCACATTTTAGCGATTGGAACATACATCGGGAAATATGTCACTGTCGATGA